GTCACGTCTTTCACAATACACCTATTTTTGACTATAATCAACTAAATTGGAGGAATGCATACATGTAAAACATGCAACTGACAACAGAGCTAATTTTTCAAAATACTTTTTTAAACTCACTGTTTCAACTCAAATTAGATTAGATTCACTTCCTTATCGTTACCCATGTACCAGTATAAGGCACTGAAAATGCAGTTCAACAACAGTTTAAACCTACTACTTTAGGCTTTGCTTCGCAAATGTAGAAAACTGTTTAAATTTACATCCTATCTTATTGCCTTAAGCGTAACTCTCTCCCTCCTCTGTCTCTCTGTGCACGTTTACATCACAGAACTGCTCAGGGGGAGGGCAAGAGGCGGAGCACACAGCACTGACCAGCACTCACTTCCAGTTTGTATCCGACTGGCAAAAGTGAGACTACTCACTTCCCCCTTTTTAAAAAAAAAAAATACAGGCAGCAGAGGCAGCACTACGCACATTAAAGCACCAAGCCTCTATTCCCTCATGAATCGACCACAGCAACAAAAAACATCATACCATTTTAATAGTAGGTTGTAACTACAAGTGCAATAGCCAATGTTCAACAGTCATGTACTACTAATATTAAGAAATAGTTATTCATATAAACAAATCAATACCCACATGATCCTTTACTCTCCAGACCATGACAACTTGTTAAAACAAAAAACACAAGACCATAAACTACACAAACATCAAAGATTAGAGACCTCCTAAACATCAGGTTTTAATAACTAATAGTAACTATAAAACAGCACATTACTATTATCCTATTATTAATGTTATTCTTTATTATTTATTATATGATATGACTTTGCCTCACCGTCACACAGAGGTACACACACACATGCACCCACGCACTCCTACAGACGCAGGTAAAATACTCGCACTCCCGCACACACACAAAGAGCGGACCGCACTCAAAAGAAAAAACTGCGCAGTAATGATTCAGTATATCTACAGTATATCTACAGCCTGTACAAACCATTAATATAACCCAATATATATTTTCTTAAACTTTTGTCACATTTCATAAAACATGAAGCCATTTACAACACATACAGTATACTCAGCCTATAATCAAACACACACATTTAAGTCCGGATTATTTACAAAAAGCGCTTTAAGTGGGCTTTCACTATACTTGGCCAACAGAAACAAATGACCAGTGCCCCGAGAGGCAGGCTAGCCCCGAACCAGCTGATCAAGTTCGGTCGAGACCTAGCGTCATCCCCCTCGCAGTTAAACTAATTCAATTTATTACTCTCAATACACCAAACGAATTTAACCGAAACGGTAACTGCGAGGATGCAAGTTTGTCTGCTACTACAGATTCTCTTATAATTTCACCAGTCATCTTAACATATGATTTGCTTATCCAGACGGGGTGATGACTTCTTTGAGCTCCAAACGCCTGTAGACCCACTAGCAGTACAAAAATTGCTTTGCAGCCATAACACACAATTTACCAGACACTCTTATTATTTATAGCTCACAATTAGCTTCTCCAAACTGGTCTGTCAATTAGCTTCTCCAAACTGGTCTGTCAATTAGCTTTTCCAAACGGATCTGTCTGCTCAGACGTTTTAACACCCAATTGGCTGCATTTCTCCTATTCTAAGACAACAACAACAACCAGCACACACACACACTGTTACTTATTTACACAATGTTAATAAATGCTATACCTTCTCACACACACACATTCACAGAGTGAGCAGCTCACACACATATCATACAGGAAGTAGGTAGCAGAACACACACACAAACGGAGCAAAGAGGGGGAGAATTACTCTGAATTGGCTGTCGGTGTGTTTTAGAATCCATTTTAAGATTCTTTTATTTGTTTTAAAATCTTTAAATATGTGGGGGCGCCTAAGTTGTGGAATGCATTGCCCCTTTATATTAGACAGGCCCCCTCGTTGTCCACTTTTAAGACCTATTTGAAGACTCATTTGTACCATCTGGCGTTCAAACCAGTATGATCCTGTCTTGTTGAGCTTGTGATTTATGATAGGGGGTTGTTTTAAGTATGATGTTTTTGTTTTGCTGTTCATTTATGTTGTTTTTTAAGGGGTGTTGTGGATATTGTGTTAAGCACTTTGGTCAGCTTCGGCTGTGTTAAATGTGCTATATAAATAAAGTTGATGATGATGATGAACTTCAGTTGACTGGCAACACTAAATTGCCCCTAGGAGTGTGTGCGGTTCTCTGTCTCTACATGTCAGCCCTGTGATAGACTGGCAACCTGTCCAGGGTGTACCCAGCCTCTCACCAAGTGTCAGCTGGGTAACTCTCCTGAGTCACCCTCCTCACACCCACTTATGCAAGTGAATGAGCAACACTGTTCTCTTCCTTATGCAAGGCACTGAACTACAAACTTTTTCAGAGTAAAACAGTAGCAAATGGTGATAGTACCTTATCAAAATGAAACAAAATTACTCTTGAGTCATAAGTAAAAGCAACATCTTTGCAGTAACTGGCCTTTATGTGGGTGTGAAACAAGCATATAAGTACAATGACAGGCATAATGAATAAATAATGAATGAATTACAGCCCTTTACTCATAGTGTGCTAAAACAGAGGCTTGTTTTTGCAATTGCAGTGACCCCACATGGATTTCTGTGCTGTTTAGAAGTGAATGAGAGTCAGGGAATTGCTGAAAAATGCCTTGATGCTGAGTGGATATCTCTTTCTTTAATGTCATGTGGTCTCCCTGCAGATAAGCTGGCATTTGTGGGGTTCAAGGGCTCATTCCACCCAGACTGGGTCCATCTGGAGGTGGACGTTGACCGTGCCAAGATCCATCAGGTCCTGCCTATCCCTGTGGTGCAAAAGATGAAGCTATAAATGGCAGGCAAAGTGGTGATGACAGCCAAGAAACTATGTAGTCCCCAGATACTGACACACATTCCCCTCCAAAAAATATACATGCATAGACACACACTCATACACACACTACCAGCACTGCAGAGTCAGTTGCTCCAAGCCATTGGAGGTTTTTCTAGGTTTGACTGTGAGAAATAACGATGTGATTTGGTTGGTTCAGAAGGGTAGGACCCTCTTCCAGAGCCAGCACTGGCCATCATGAACTATAAATCTATACAACACCCACCATCAATAGAGCGATTTAAAGTGACAACACAGCACAATCCTCTGGTGGCCATATCAGCTCTTTGGCAACTGTGGCTCAAAACAGCAGATGGTGTTTGCAGAAATGTATCTGTCTCCACAACCATCAATAGATGAGTGATATTGGTTTTATCATTGCATCACTCACATCCTTGTTTACACAATGTCAGGGTGTCAGCTAAAGTAACTAGTGGATTTGGTCAGCTGTTGTGCTGTGAAAATGTTACTTGCACAAGCTAACAGGGACATTAACTTAGTTTTATGTCAGCAATAATTTTGGTCTGTTTGCTAAATCATTCAGAAGGCTTGTTAACTCAGAAAGCCAAGAACCATAATTGACTTTTCTCTTACTGCCCCCTAGTGGAGCTTAGAAACTAAAGACAGTTCAGTCTTTGATCATTTGTACAGTATGTTATCTGCACCCAAATTGACCTTTCTCTTGGTTTATCCCAGCACACTGCCATCTACAGAAAGATAGGTCCTCTTTGGTGTAACTGTTAGATGACAATGTTGGACAGTGCTGTTACAAGATGATTAAAAAGAGCTTGAGAGAGACATTGAAAGGTTTACTTTCACTCCTCCACACTGGCAAACCACTAGTTTAATTGTCAGTATCATTTTACAAAGTTACAAACAAAGGCCAATTTCAGCCTTGGTTAGGTGTGGGTAGGGTTAGGGAGTTTCCATTAAATTCTTTTGAAGCATACTGACCCCTCAGATTACACCATTAGATGATACTGATTTGACAATGGACACCAATTGTAGCTGGCATACTTATCATCCATTAAGTGTATGGCCATCCCTTTTATTTGCTGCCTTGGCAAGGTATCAGATGGAATCTTTTTCTGACCATTTTTTTTTTCTTGCTCCCAGTCAAAAAGAGAGAGTACTGGCATTTCACTTGTGTATGATTGGGAGTGACAGGCCCTCTTGGACACAATGGTTCCTACTGGGTGCCACTTTGCCGGCTGTGAATGTTGCCTCTGGTTTACCCAGCAGGGCTTATAACCAGGAGTGGACATTCATTTAGTGTGAACTCTAAAATGCAGCTAGGGTAAACTTAAAAATAAATGAGTTTGTAAGTACTGTCTAACAACATCTGAAGTGTGCATAGTTGTTCCAAATGAAACCACTTAAAAGTGCAACAAAAAGCCTCTCATCGTGGAGAGCGCAGCACAAGGAATAATGATGCACACTAAAGGAATGAATGGTGTTGCATTGGATTGTTGTCGTGATACGTCATGGAACAATTTGTGAAGAATGCAAAAAGATAGCAAGTTCAAACCCAGTTAATGCGTGGCTGCACGGCATGAGGTTTGACGACCTGACAAGTATGTTGTCCGTGCAGATTCTCAGTCATCCAGGTCATAGTAAGCTAAAAACATCAACCAGACTAGGTTTCTAGGTTGAAGACTTTTCACCTCTCATCCAAGAGGCTTCATGGGTCCTGCCCAACTGGTGTTGAGCTGGAGATATTTATCCCCACCAGTGGTGTTTCAGTCCTTTGAAGGCCAACAATGTCCCCTAACAACTGAGTTGTTATAGCCCAGTATCTGTGAGTGTCGTTACCTGTCTTTGAACCCTCACCTATGGACTCGACACCTATTGTCCTGGTGGGCATGTTTGGGCAGAGATCTCTAAACAGAATTGTAGATGGATGACAAGTTGTGTCTTAGTCCACCCCCCCTATTTAGTGAGGGGTGTTCTATTTTGACAAAAATAGCTTCCTTAACTCCTCTCTCAAACCAGCACTGTTCTATGGAGAGGATCTGACTACACTTAATTGCATACACCACATCACTCTGTTTATGTCTGGGTGTTTTGTCTTTCGGGTGGACCAGTCTCTGCCGCAGGGTGTTCCCCGGTTTAAAGTTGACTGGGATATTGTGGTTGCGAAATATCCTTTTTAACTTCTCTGATAAACCAGCCACATAAGGGATGACAGTGTTATCCCCTCTTGTTTCTGGTTTCTGCCTGTTGGTGTTGGGCTTCTTCCTTGCTTTGGTGAAGGCCCACTTGGGGTATCTACAAGCTCTAAGGGAGTTCTGGATGTGTAGTTTCTCCTTCTTGGCCCCTGCCCTGTGATTTGGAGTTCTGATGACTCCCAGTTTGTGTTGAAGTGGATGGTGTGAGTCAAAAAGCAGGTACTGGTCCGTGTGTGTAGGTTTCCGATATACTTCTACCTTCAGGCTTCTGTCCCCTCCCAAGTGGACCACACAATCCAGAAAGGCCAGACAGTCATCTCTGGCATCCTCATGAGTGAACTTGATGTTGTCATCCACAGAGTTGATATGCTTGGTGAAAGCAACAGCAATTCTTCCATGTACCTTCTGGGTCTTGATTTTAACCCATGTGTCATCCAACCGTACCAGTGGAAGACAGGGCTTTCAACTCAAATTCTTCCATGTACAGGTTGACAACTATAGCAGACCATACCACAGCTGTGTTGCTGCCTATAGAAGTGCCCCCTAAACTGGAAGTAGGAAGTGTTTAAACAAAGTTCTAACAGAGTGCATACATGGTCTGGGGTGAGGTTAGTCCTGCTGTTCAGCGTGTCATCCTTCAGGATTCTCTTCTTCACCGCCTTGACAGCCTCTGTGGTGGGGATGCAAGTGAACAAGGATGTGACATCATATGAGACCATGGTCTTGTCCTGGTCCAGCTGCAGTTTTTTGACTTCCCTTGTGAAGTCCTAGGAGTGAGGAGTGTGATTTTCTGTGTTTCCCACAAAGGAGCCAGAATGGTGGCCACGTGCTTGGTTATGTTGCAAGTCACAGAGTTGATGCTGCCGACAATGGGTCTGAGTGGGGCTCCTTCCTTGTGTATTTTAGGTAGGCCATACAGGCAAGGGATGGCCATCCTGGGGTATAGTCGCCGGTCAATAACTCCCTGCTTTTCCAGCTTCTGTAAACAGTCTATAACCTTCTTTTTGTAGCCACTGGTGGGGTCCCTCTTCAGTGCTTCATAGGTAGTGGTGTCACTGAGGAGGTCGGAAACTCTGGTCTGATAGTCAGCTGAGTTTAGGTCTATCGTACATCTGCCTCTGTCTGCTGGAAGGATTGTAATAGTTTCATCATTTTCAAGTGCAGCTAAAGCCCTCCTTTCCTCAGGGGTAAGGTTCGAGGGTTGGAGTTTGGCACTGGCCAAAGTGGCTGTGACCTTCATCTGCAGTTCTTCCACCTCTGTCTCTGGCAGCTTGTTGTTCCTAATGGCCGACTCTGTGGCTGTGATGAAGTCTACCATAGGGATTTGTTTGGTTGTGACCGCAAAGTTCCATCCCTTGGCTAATACCTCTTTTTCTGTGTCCATGAGCTCTCTGTCTAAGACATTTTTGATCCATTTGTCATTGTGCAATGGTTGTGGGTTGTCCTCCAACCGAGGACATCTGAGGCTGGCTGTTCATTCTGTAGTCTCTGGAATTTAACCATTTGTCGTGCCTTGCTCTTGTTGTGTTGGGTAAGTTGCGCCTTTTCCAAGAATTTTGAGATCTCCTGAAAGATTTCTCTGGTAACCTTAGTGGAGAGTCTCTTTCATAGTTGTTCTGTTTTGTCCATCAGGTTGTCTATAGTGAAGTGTATTTGTCAAATCCTTTCACTTAAAAGTTGTGCTTCAGCTCTTCTCAGGATGTCCCCAGCCCCGTATCCTTTTACAGAAGAGCCCAGCCTCAAGCTTCTGGGGAAGACATCCTGTTGGCAGCAATTAAGTGTAGTCACGACTTGTGTCATGACGATGTAACAATTGTACATTGGTGAAACTAAGCAGATGCTCTGCAAACACAGGAGGGCCAACCCCAATGGACCAGATTCAGCAGCCCACCTCCACCTGAAGGACAAAGGACATTCTTTCGAGGACAGTGAAGTCCAGATCTTCTCCAGGGAACATCGCAACAGCCAAATTGGATCTTTTGGAAGTTTTGAAATCTACAGTTAAGTTTTGTCAGGTCTTTCACTAGCTTGATTTGGTAGTCTGACCTCTTCTGGTGAGAGTCACGTAGCAGGCCAAGCAAAGTAGCCCAGTGTCCTTTTCTCCAGCCACATCCTCCAACTCTCCTGGCAATCCCAGTGCAGACCTGGGCCAGATGGGATATACTGACCCCGCACCATGTTCTGGATCTGTTCTGGAGTCTCATCTATGTTGGATGAGACTCTGAACAGCTTGCTTGTTGTTGTCCATGAAGGCTGTAACCACTGCAACGTGCTCAGACACAGTGGCCCTCCTGCTTGGTTCCACATTGAGGCATAAAGCTAGTTTTTGGGAAGGTTGTCCAACCAACAGTCAAGTCAAGTCAAAGTGTTTATTTGTCATATGCACAGTTAGGAAACGTGTTTCCCTGTACAATGAAATTCTTACTTTGCCATCCACATGAATGCCACAAAATACAAATGAAATATAAAGTAGATAAATAAGTAACACAAAATCTAAGGCACTTGTAACAGTGAAGGCTTCTATCAGTGAAGTCTGTTACAAGTCTACGCAGACACACAATGCTGGAGTTATACATTAATCTAATGAACCTGTCTCTTGGAGTTTGGTGACATGCAAAATGTTACTGAGACACAAAATAGCTGAAAATGTATTGTTTATGTTCTTTTCAGTCTCTGTTCTATATTGGAGTAGAAGGTGTTTTCCACCACAGTGTTTTACATGCCACTGTTACTTACACTCACCATTTTAAAGCGTTTTCAGTCCAGCTGGGTCCAGACCAAAGTCAGACAGCCTTCCCACCGGCCTAAAAAATGAACAAATTCATTTGAACTATTAGCCTTCTCTGTCCCCCCCCCCCCAAAACACTTCCTGCATTGGAACAGACTGAGTTGGCTCATTTAATGTCTCACAATAACTTCAATTTAGAAAGAAACCTGACATATTATTCAATTTGACCTTGATTGTTTAACTACAATCATTTCCAAGAATCTTTTTGCTATCCTGGCTATTTGAACTTTATACAGTATTTATACTAGTTAAAGGTCAGGCAAATAAGACACACCACTGCTGCATGTCGCCATCAGTCAAAGATGATGGTGTCCATGATGTCAGTCACAGGCAATTTAGGATGCAAAATGCAAAGCCTCTGAAAATGAAGAAAGCATGAACCATCTAATCAACCGCTTGTGTAATGTATGTCCACCTTTCAGCATTGTCCCCATGCAGGTCTCTGTGACATGTGACAAATGTAGAAGTTGATTGGTTCTGCCAGTTGACTAAACTGTTTAAAGAACAAAAACAGAAGAAGAAATTTTAAAAAAAGGGGGAACCTTCCTTGTTTTGCATCCAGACCAGTGCTTGTTGACTTGCTGTTTTCATTCCAAGTACACATTCAATTGATATTGTGATGTTTCCCTCCCATGTTTTATTTTCCATATCAGTGTTGGTGAATCTGTGTTTTTGGAGTAAACCAGCAAAAGCCCATAAAAGCACAAAATGGGAAATAAAATTCTTCACTCACTGTTAAATCGAGGAGTTTTAAAATGTACAATCTCCCCATTTTAAAATGACTGAAAAATCTTCATTCCAATTTGGTTGTTAAAAAAAAAATTCCCACCCTTTGCCGAAATAGCTGGTCTTTTTTCGGAGGTTGTAGCATTAATCAAAAGTCATCTCAGGACACTTTACAAAGCAAGGTCTAGACCAGTGGTCCCCAACCCCCGGGCCGCGGACCGGTACCGGTCCGTGGATCAATTGGTACCGGGCCGTACAAGAAATCATTAATTATTTCCGTTTTATTTATTATCTGAGTCTGAACGATCTTTTATTTTGAAAAATGACCGCATTCTCTCGGTTACATCTCGGTCACTTGAGCGCCAAAACTAGCTTACTTGTGGACATATTCAGCCTGCTCAATGAACTCAATCT